ATTTTTACTAGTTTCATATTTTCCTTAAATCAACTCAAATCTACATTTACTATTCATGAAACTGCTAATTTATATATGGGCTATTTATCTTTTCAAATATACAATAAAATAAATATATAACTTTTAAAATATAAAAATGTTCACCCATGTGCCATCTAAAACAGTCTCACCTTCTTCAGTGGCCCACGTGCCATTGTTGAGGGAATACCGATGTTCAGAACATTCTTTCGTGCTTTCCTCCTTTTTCCCTCTTAGATTCCTTTGCTATAACAAAGGTTCCTATATGTGAGAAAAGAAACAAGAGCTTTTAGTTATTAGGAAGAGAAGTCCTCTTCATTTTAAAGAACCTACCCCACTCTCCCTCCCCACACTTGTTTTCAGAGAATGCTAGCATTTCAGGATTCACTAACGACTCATTCAAGGTTGACTATACCTTGACTCAGCCAGTTTTCTCCATTTATTAGAAAACATCCTCAGAGAATTGTGGAGTGGGACTGTTTGAAGATAAAGAAGCACCTGCTTGTTACAGCACAGGGTATGAAAGAACTTAGTGAGTGAAGGCTGCATTCCTGGGCCCCGTGGGACAAGACTGACTGTGGCCCAGACTCGTGCGGCCTCTTGGAGACTCACTGAGATTTGAATAGAAAGAGCTTAAAGTATTAATGAAATAGCTCATCCTCTTTTTACAAGCGGGGTGACTGAGGCTCAGAGGGGCAAAATGGCATAACTAGGATCACACCATCAGTTGAGGCTTGGTAGAGAAAGTCTCATGCTAAGAATCACAGAACCCTCTGCTGCTGGAAATGACTGCTTTCCAAAGAAAGAGGAGCGGGCCCCAAATAGCCATTTTAGCCAAGATCTGAGGTCACTGGTGTGATGACATTAGGAATGACAGAACTGTGTCAAGTTACCCTGGACAAGACCACTAATGACCTGGAGCCCCGTTCACTATTTAGGGGATTTCTGGCCATGATATAAGTGCAAAGTATTGATGATCTGTTCAATACTTTGCCCTGGTGCCCTGTAGTCCTACTTAGGGGTCTTCTGTTCTAGAAATTAGGTTGAGAATCATCTCCAAGTTCGACCTTTTGTAGCTATAATGAATAGCTTTGAAATGTCCCCATGATGTCATAACCAGGGGAGCCTAAGCTAAATGCCAAGTGGAAATTCTGGAACACCAAGTCCTGATCCTGGTTTTTTTCCCCCTGAGTTTAGGTTGAAGTTTTAATAAAACCCTAATTAATGACTATTCACAAATCTTGTGTCTCTGTTGCCTTAAATGAGACTTGCAAATGTCAAAACTACCTACCAGCAATTCAGAAACCATTTACAATCGACCCTTGAACAACACTGTTTTAACTATGTGGATCCACTTATACATGGATTTTTTTTTTCAATAAATACTGTAAATGTATTTTCTCTTCTTTATGATTTTAATAACATTTTTCTTTACTTTATTGTAAAAATAGAGTGTATAAGACAACATACAAAATGTGTGTTAATCGATGGCATATGTTATCAGTAAGGCTTCCAGTCAACAGTAGGCTATGAGTAGTAAAGTTTTAGAGGAGTTAATCTTATACAAAGATTTTCAGCTGTACAGGGGGTCAGTACCCCTAACCCCCCTGTATTGTTTAAGAGTATACAGTACTTATTATTTCCTATGCTCTGCAGGCTTTGGGACACAAAGATGAATCAAACAGGGGTTGGGCGGGGGGGTGTCTCTGCCCTGGAGGAACTCACAGACCAGTGGAATAACAAACCAGCACATAGCAGAAACATGGTTTGACAACTTAAGAGTTATCTCCTCCACAAAGGTTTCCTAAACTCTCCGGGGAAAATTAGTGGGTCCCAATTCTTGGGTCTCAGGGTACCTTGTACAGCTCTCTGCAGCCCTGTACATTGCTTCTGTGCTCTGTTTTGAGGTCTGTTCCCCCTTGGACAGTAGGCAGGGGCTGTATTTTATGCAACTCTGTATTCTCAGTGCCTGGTGTAAGTAGGTGGCCCTCCAAGATCCTTTTATGGGGAGAGGTATGGACAGTATCCTAGGAAAACACAGCGTAGGGGAAAATACCATGCGATGCAAACCAAGCAGTTCATTCAGCTTGAGGGTCTTAGAAAGTTTGACAGAGGAAAGGCGTTTGAGCTGGAGTTTGGAAGATAAGTAGGAGTCTCTGGGAGCTGTTTTAGCGTGGCCTCAGAAGTGACTATGTGAGTGTCCACCCCACCTACCTTGTACGAGCCCTTTCTCTGCACCTGGCACCTTTCCTGAAGGACACACACATCTTCAGTGAGTCCCACATGTTTCACTTAGACAAGCCAGGTGTCAGGTGTTTAAGTTTGAGTCAGTTGTTAGCTAGCTAGGTGTTGGTTAATTTCTAACTGTGTAAATGTTAAAAATACACAGAAATGCTAGGTTGGGGCATTTCTTATCAAAACCATTTCAAGCAAGCTTTATAAGAATTCTAAGGAATGTGTGGGAGCAGAGAAGTGCCATTGGTTCTTGTTACTTATGGTCAGTGAGAAATATGCCTCAAACTTCTTTAGGAAAGAGGTGGGTACCTCTGAATTTAAAGTTGTAATTCCTGCAAGGACATTATTGCCAAAGTCCCCTTTTCCTTAGCACTTACTTTCTAACAAATAATAGCATTTATTTATTAATGACATTAATTATTGTCTGTTCCTCCCTGCTAGAATGTAAGGTCCAGGAGGGCAGGGATCTTTGTCACTGATGTATCCCCAGTGCATAGAACAATGTCTGGCACATGCTAGGTGCTCACTGAATGAATGAGTATTGGATATTGGTATGAATGAAATATTGAATGAACGAATGAATACTTCTGTGCCAGATCTGGGCCCAAGTAAACAGAAAGACAGTTGTCCTAAGGATTGGTATTGGAGTGTCACTAGGATTTCCTCCAGAGGGGTGGCCATTGGTGTAGGCGGCCTCCTTTCCAGTGGCTAGCCTGGAACCAACCTCATCTCAGATGTCAGGAACATACCTAAGCAATAGAAAAGGCAATGCCTAAAAAGCACTCCAGTCGTTTCAGTGGCTGTTATTTAAATGTATTCTTCATCAAAGGAGGTAGCTGTGACGCAGTCCCAAGGAAGCACTGTCAGGAGACCTGGGTTCAAATTCCACATACGTCCTTTTCTAGCTATATGACTTGGGGTTCATCATTAGCCCTCCCTGAGCCTCAGTTTCTTCACTCAAAATGGGGGCAGTAATCTCCTCACCACACGCCCAGCACTGCACCTCCTGACACCCAGGAGGCCCTCTGAAAAGCCAGCAGTGTGGGTGGGTTCCATGAGCCCGTTTCCGAGCCAGTCTCCGGCTCTCCCCAGGAAAAGATCCAACAACACCCTGTGAGTTTTGTTAGGGAGGATTGTGCAGTAACTGCCCCCCCTTCACCCCCCCATCCAGAACCAAATCCCCAGTAAGTCAGGAAGATGTATGTGTTTTAAAACATTGGGAGGTCTGCTTTGGATCACCCTGGAGCTGTGGCTTCCCTGAGCAGCTGAGAGTGAAGGGAAGCAGTTCCTCTGCCGGGGGCTCCCCCACCCCTCCCGGCTCGGCGCTCAGGGCCCACATAGGGGCTGCCTTCACTCGGCTTTGGCGGCCGTTGACTTTTAAATCATAAAAAGCCGCTCTGTATACAGTTTATTCTGTTGCTAGAAGGCAGCGGAACATAGGTATTAAAAAAAAAGAGAGAGAGAGCAGAAGCAGCAGCCGTTAATCCCGCCAGGCTTCTGGGCACTGGAGCAGTTGCGGATGACAAAAGTTAATTAGAAACATGAGCAGTTTAACCGAAAACACTTGTGACAATTGGACGGACAGCCTCTCCAGTTGGAGAATTTTTTACAGGGAGTCATTTCGGGAGAAAGTGACTGCTGCTAGGTAAGTCATGCCATTGTGACTTTGTAGAAGGGGACGTGCTCTTTGGCAGCTGAAGTGCTGCATCCCGTCTGTCCCGAACACCGGGCGGGCGTGGGGCGTGGGCAGGCGTGGGGCGTGGGGTGTGGGTGGGCGCCGGGCTGAGCCGTGACAAGCCTTTCCTGCCACTTTCGCTCTGACAGCTGCCCTTGCATAGGCGATAGAGCTGCATCGTTCTGGATGCTGCTTGAAGAAGGGCCGTAGAGTTTTCTTGTCCGTGATTCAGGCGGCCTCGGTGGCCAACACAACTCCAGTTTGGAACCCGCACTTCCCAGAATAATTCCAGTTCGAGTTTGGAAATGTTTCAAGGCTTTTCTGAGAAAAGAGTCTGGCTGGGGAGATACTCCCTGAGTGCCAAGGGGAAAGCCTTGACTTTGAGATAACCTGCATGTTTTCTTGCCTACGGTGGAGCCACGTGCAGTTTTATACTCTTCAGTTAAAAAGACTTTCTTAATTTTAAGTCTCATCTGAATCATGTTTGTAACTCCTTAAAAGCGCCAACATAGGAAAAACTGATATACTTTGATAGGACTTAGGAACTTCTGTAGGTAATTATCCTTCTGTAAAGATTATACTTGATTTCTCTCTCTTTTTTTTTTTTTTTCTTTTTTTGTCTATTCTGTTTTAGTATCTGTGACATTGTTTTCTTAAAGTTGGCTAATTCTCAGTTGTTTCACATAACTGGGAAATGGGGTTGTGGGCCGAATAATCCAAAACAGTAGCTATTTCCTGCATCTTTCCTACACCACCACAGTGGTGGTGCAGGTTTTAGTCTGTTTGTTTTCCCATAAATTTAAGTGCTTAATTGTGCTTTGTGCACATTGATGCATTTGTACAGCATATACTAAAATGTGACGAGGGGATGTGAACTGTGCCAGATGGAAAGCAGGAGGACATCAAGTTAGGATTTAAAATTTAACCACAGATAATGCATGAAGCGGGTAATGGAACTGTATGGCATTTGAGTTTGGAGCAATTGGCTATGTAACTGTAGCCAACTTTCTCTGATCTAGAGTGCAGGTCCACAGGTATAATTCAAGTTTCCTTCTGTTACCCATCTCTGCAGAGCCATTGGCAAGCCCAGCCTCCTCCCACCCCGGAATGAGCGAGAATACACCTGTTTCTTTGGAGAGTGGCAGCAGCTCCACCCCTGCTAATTGCGGTGTCTCCTCAGCCATCCCCCAGCCTGGTGCAGCCGCCAAGCCCTGGCGGAGCAAGTCCGTCAGCGTGAAGCACAGCGCCACATCGTCCATGCTCTCGGTCAAGCAGCCCGTGCCTGAGGCCCCCAGGCCCAGTTCCGATGCCTCGAAGTCGGCACCCAACAATCAGAAGTCCATGCTGGAGAAACTAAAACTTTTCAACAGCAAAGGGGGTTCCAAGGCGGGCGAGGGCCCAGGGTCGCGGGACACGAGCTGTGAGCGGCTAGAGGTTCTGTCCAGCGTTGAAGAGAGTGAGGAGGTGGAGGCCACGGGCCGCTCGCTCTCCACGGCGGGCCCCACGTCCAACAGCCCCAAGATCGCACTCAGGGGCATCGCCCAGAGAACTTTCAGCCGGGCGCTGACCACCAAGAAGAGTTCCCCGAAAGGCAATGAAAAGGAAAAGGAGAAGCAACAGCGGGAGAAGGAAAAAGAGAAAAGCAAGGACCTCGCCAAGAGAACCTCTGTGACAGAGAGGCCAGACCTCAAAGAGGGGCCAAAAGAAGACCCCAGTGGGGCAGTGGTGACCGAGATGCCAAAAAAGTCCTCCAAGATTGCCAGCTTCATCCCAAAAGGGGGCAAGCTCAGCAGTGCCAAGAAGGAGGCCCCAGCCCCTTCCCTCAGTGGAATACCAAAACCAGGAATGAAGAGCATGCCAGGGAAACCCCCAAGTGCCCCCGCCCCTTCCAAGGACGGGGAGCGGAGCCGGGGTGGGAAGCCAAGCTCGGGGCACCCCCAGCAGAAGGCCCAGCTCGATGGCAGACACTCCAGTTCCTCCTCCAGCCTGGCGTCCTCGGAAGGAAAGGGCCCAGGAGGGACCACCCTGAACCACAGCATCAGCAGCCAGACTGTCAGTGGGTCCGTCGGGACCACCCAGACCACAGGAAGCAATACCGTCAGCGTTCAGCTACCTCAGCCCCAGCAGCAATACAACCACCCCAACACTGCCACGGTTGCACCTTTCCTGTACAGGTAGGAGCAGCGCCGCCTGCCCTTCCTGGGCCACTGGACAAAGAAGGCTTTCTGGTGGCTCCTGGGTAATCAAAGGCAGGAATCAGGACTGCCTTGTGGGAACATTTAAGCCAACAGCTAAGGTACCGGCGATAAGCTCCTAGTAGAGGTATACACAGTGTGCTTGAGGGAGTGACGAATGCTGCAGGGTTCGGTGGAGGGTCAGAGCAAGCTAAAGGGAGGACATAAAATTTGAGCTGAGCCAGAATGAGTGGGAGTCCACCAGCCTTGCTCACAGGGGTCAGCGTGCTTCTGTGCTTCGGACGGGTAGTGCCTTTGGCCACACTGGACAGTTGAATGATGACTGGTATCTCTACATAGCTAAGGGGAACTGAGGACTGAATGATCAAATGTCATATTCTAGGCACTCATTTTACAGCTTCTACCCAAGGACATACACACATATGCAACGGTAGGCACACCCATACGCTCGTAGGTATGGACGTTAACAGTCACATGTAAGTGTGAGCACAGGTACACATTCGTATATAAAATGCAAGTGCTCATGCATAACTGTTCACATGCAGAGATCCCTCCCATCACCCCCTCTCCCTGCCTGAGTTATGTTCTGGGAGACTTTATTCCCATTCCTGCCAATAGCGGATGGCAAGACTGGCTTGAGGATTTGAGTGTAAAGCCAGCCAGAGTCAGCCAGTGAGAAATGTCAGGCCCCGTCTTGTCCCTCTTCTGTTTCCCTCTGCTCACCCTCCCCGTCACTGAGGATCACGCCTGAACTTTTTAACTGGGAGCCAGTCATCTTTTTATTAAATCACGTCATCAGCCCAGCTAACAGTCCCGAGAAGAGTGCCAGGGCTTAGATAATGACTCAGCACTGGTCTGCACACAGGGCTATTAATACAGTTGTTCTCTGAACCAGAGAGGCGACTGAATTGCTCCCCGTGAAATGTTTATCCTTCCAGTCACATTAATAGTCGTGAAGGAATGCATAATCCTGCATTCACAGATTCTTATGTGCATTTTCGAAATTAAAATATATGATAGTCTTTGATCACCATCCATTTCCCCCTTCCCCTTTGGCCGTTATAATTTAAAAGATTGTAAAATATTTAACCTTGTTTAGAAATTTTAAGCTTTTATGAAAGGTAAAACTCTTAATGATAAAGAGCCAGTGTATGACAAACAGGAAGAAGGAAAAAATACCATGTGTATCTGTCAAGCCCCGTTTTAATGTTAAGTTTACGCTGATGTCCTTCTGGCCCCTCTGAGGTGCCTTTGCTTTTTAGGTGAGCCAGGGAAGAGGTTAGAAAGAAGAGCCCTGGAATAGGAGTCGGGACTCCTGGACTCTGTCCCTTATCAGCTCACACATCCCTGAGTGGTCTTGGGACCTGGCTGCAGGAACCGCTATTGAGTGTGTACCAGTTGTGTGCAAGACCTGGCTAAGAGCTTTCATGCCTTAGCTCATTTAATCATTCCCACATTTCCATGAGCTACCTACCTTTTTAAAAATCCCCATTCTATAGCTAAGCAAAGCTGAGGCTTACGGTGATTAAATAATTTGCTCTGAGTCACAGAGCTAATAGCCAAAAGAGCCTGGTTTTAATCTCAAGGCTGCCCAACTAGAGGGACCAAGTTCTTAACTACCATACTCTCTTGGCTCTGTAAATCACTGCATCTCTGTGAGTCTGATGTCTTCATCCATAAAGTGAGGAGACTGGACTAGATCGGACTGTTCTCTAAAACACTCTCTCAAGTTTATAACTCACTGTATATAACCTGCAGTGCTCTGCCCAGACCTTCTCCATGTTAGCGATTTTACCAGGGGGTGAAAGGAAGATAAATTCTTTCAAAAAACACTCAGAATGAAATGTGTTTAGCAATTGAGAAGTAACAGTGGACACCTCTATCGCCATGTTTGTGTCATACCACATGCGATTTTCGTAGCAGCCAGGAGAGGTCGCTATTGTTACTCCCACTGTACAGATGAGGGCCCTGAGATTCAGAGGTTAAGTGACTTACTCAAATGTGCATGGCTCTCAAGTTATAGACCCCAGGCCTCAAGCCAGCTAAATGGTCAGACTCCAAGTCTAATGTTCCTTCCAGTGCCCCACATCTTTCTAGACTTAAAATTTTCTCATTTATACATTCAATACGTTTATCCTGCTTTGAGTGCCTGCTTAGCATATAAACTTGAGCAGATCTTGTTCTTATGTGTATAAAATGAAAACAGCCAGTCTTTGCCTTCAGAGAACTCTCAGTCTAGTTGAGGAAAGATTTATTAATTTCATTGCATTGTAATAAACAGACATCAGAGAATGAGAGTGCTGGTAGAAACACGAGAGGTGAAGTGATCAGCGGGCAGAGTCCGAGAAGACGTCCAGGTCAAGATGACATGGGAACTGCATCTTAAAGGCAGATTAGGAGTAAATTAAGGAAGAGAGAAGAGAAAAGGGCCTTTTGGCAGAGGTTATTGTGACTACAAAGACAAAACTGTTAAGGGAGTGGTGTGGTCTGGGAATGGAGAGAAGCCACATGTGGGTGGAGCATAGGGCGGGGCTGTGTATAGGGACCTGAGCGGCAGGAGATGGGGCTGGAGATGATGGAAGGAAGAATCTCATGATGTAGGCCATCTTCTACCACAATAAGGCGTTCAGACCTATTCAGTATGCTGTGGGAAACAGTTGGAAGCTTTTAATCAGAGGGTGGTATGATATGATCACATCAGTATCACACAGATCATTGGTGTGAGGAGTGGACCAGACCTAGAAACAGTGTAGGACAGAGGTCATGGATTCAGATGCCTGATCTGGCCCCAAAAGGTAATATGAATGGGAGTCTCAGGATGAGTAAGACTGTGACAAAGGGAATGACACACCTCTAGAGGGAGCGGCCACCACTTGGCACTGGCAGGCAGATTTCCTTATTTTTACTGGGAGAAGGCAGAAATCCAGCTCTTTCTTGTGAAATCTCCCAATTTTTAAATCTTGAAATTAATTTGAAAGCTTTAAAATACTACGCATACCAATAAGAATAAATCTGTAGGCTGATTCCTACACCTGACTGCCCTTTGCACCTCCAGGCTGGAGGCAGCATACCTGCTTACAAAGCACTTACAGGACCTAGGCAGAGATGATGAGAGCTTGGACTCTAGCCAGGGGATGGAGAGGAGCATTGAGAATGTAAAAATCCTTTAAAGGTAGAGGTGACTAGAAGTAGGAACTGATGACTTCAGTAGGAGGCCAAAGGGAGGAAGAACAGCTGGATGACTTGAGGTTTATTAGCACATCCTCCACATTTAAGACAGTTCTCATTCTTGGCAAATGCTTTCTTCATGGAGAGTGTAATCTCATTGAGTTAGCTCAAGATGCTAATGAATTAATAATGTAACCAGGGTTATGCATCTGACTACTGTTATACATTTGCACGCCATGCCTAAATGAACTGAGGTAGCTGTGGCATGAACACATTGCATGAAGCAGTTGCCTCGATTTGCTTGACAAATAAGGGCATGGAGAAGGTTTGGGGAAGTACACGTTTCAGTCAAGTGTTGAAATAACGATCAATGAGACCTTTCATGTCAGAAGATCTGAGCTCTGAATCAGAGACCTGGAGGGCAAACACACCTGCTTGGCACACAGTCCTGACTGCTTTTACAGTTGCCTTTTCAGAGAGAGCCACGCCAGGAGGATTTGGGGGGGCTTTAGGGGGCGGCAATGGAGTCATCTTTATGCTTGACTTGCTGGTGTTGCTGGTTCCTTAGAAGCTGCTCTTTGGCATAGGTTAAATGATCTGAACCACCCAGTACTCTCCAGCATTTTTCCGGCCAGACTTAGTGCCCCGATGGGGATTCAAGGAAGCGTTTCCCCATGAGAGATTGCGACCCTCTGTTTGGGTGATGAATATTTCATCTTTTACAGTTCGGTGGCTCTCTCTATTTCTGGGACATTGCTCCACATGGGCTAATGAATTATTTAGCATCAGTCTGCTGGTCTGCTCTGTTCTAAAGCTTCTTGTTGAAGGAGGTGCTGTGGTCAGACCACAGTGGTCCAGATGTGGGAATTACTGCTTATGACAAGTGTGTCTGCTTTGGTTTGTGTGTGAAGGTCCCAGACAGACACCGAAGGGAATGTTACTGCCGAGTCCAGCTCAGCGGGTGTGAGCATGGAGTCCAGCCATTACTCCAAGAGTGGACAGCCTGCTCTGGAAGAACTCACCGGTGAGTATGGAGCCTCAGAAATTCTGTGTCTGTTGGTGATTCGGCCTCCCATGTAACCACCTGCTGGATGAGCATGAACCCAGCATGGTTTGAAGTAGATTTACTATTGTGTTGACTGATGAGCTAAAAAACTTGTTTTCTTTCTTATCATTTTCCTTCTCTTTCTCCCCTGTTCTCACTGTCACACAATCTACTCCCTCCTTCCCAGAATTAGAAATAAGTCTCTTACCTGTTGGCAAATCCTGTTCTAAGATATGTTCCGTTTCATTCTTGTAGGGGCTGTGGGCTGCTCTGACACTTAACTTTGAGTCACCCTGTTTACTCTTCAGATAACATTGCTTTCCAACAAGAGTTAGAACTCTAAAATACTGACTTTTTTTTCTCCTGTATGGAAGCACCGATTGAACATTGTTCTTAGCATCCTCCATTAATTGGAAGATTACAGCATGCCACTTTTACCAAAAACAAAATTATCAATTTTATTCAAGTATAACCTAGATAATGATGGTTAAAATGGCATTATATAAAATATAAAATCCGCAATTATCATATAGCTAGTTCCACAAATATTTACCTATTCATTCTACTGTCCCATTCTTCATTTAAAGGAGCAAAGTTAGCATCTCAGTGCATTCGGAATTTCCACCTTCTCTGTCTCTCTTCCCCATTCCCCAACTCTAATTCTGTGCCTTGTGTTCCAGCAACTTCTAATCAGGGAAGCGAGTGGTAAACTACATATTTAGCAGTGGCTGTGTTATTCTTCTCCTATCTTATCACTTCCAGAGATGTATTATAAATTGAATACGTGTTTCAAATCTATTTATTAGACTAAATATCCATGACCACATCATTTTAGGAGCCATATTACAGCTGTGGAATTGGTCTGCAGCCCATGTGATCGAAGCTTACCCCTCTCACCATTAGCTCTGAGTATAAATATCAGAGGATCTGAGAGATTTGACGACTTCCTTTTGGTCCTGCTGGCTGGGCACAGTGATGGGGCAGAGAGGTTTCAAGCCCATTTGTAAGTGATCCATCTTACAATGGTTCAGGCCCCCACATTTGGGGTCGATTTGCTTCCTTCTCTCCAAGGTTTATAGCTTCTTTGCATATGAGGACACGGATAGCACAGGAGGAGGGCCAGGAGAAGGGTGTGGAGGTCAAACGACTGCTCAGTTCTCCACGCACATTCCAGACCATGTTCTTAATGCCCACATCAAAAGAGCCACGCCAGTCCTTCGGAACCCAGCGTGTATCAGATGTGTGTCCCGTGGAGTTGGATGGATTCGTGTCAGGCACGAATTCACATTTGAAAAGCAAAAGCAGCAGCCACATACACTTAAGTTTCAGAGTGACAGATTGCAGACTCTGAGCTTCATTCATTTTTCTTTTTCTCCCCACATCTCCTCTGCATCAGAACTGCAAAACCAAGTAAGAGCTCAGAAAGCCTGAGATGTTCTCAGTTTCTTTGGGGAACAGAACTGTGCAGCCAGTCACGCCTGGTCAAGCACTCTTCCATGTTCAGTCAAATAGTATAGGTTGCTAATGAAAATTTCTTGATCAGGGTTACTTGCCTTTACATTCAAGCAATAGAATGCACATGTGTGGCTGTACAGTGAATTACTTTATGGAGATGCTGCATAGTGGCATGGGGTTGAATTTAACGTACCCACAACTGATCCCTGGAAATAAATGGTTTATGTATTTAGAAACAGACATTTATGAGGCCGTTTCATCAGTTCGTAGTTCTTCCCCTTGCTTAGACAAGTAAGTGGATTTTCCCATAGTGCTTTGTCATTTACATAGCATCATAGTTAAGGACTGCATCTTGGATTTTGGAGTTAGAAGGAACCACACAGTCCTGTTTGTTTATGGTCCAGCTTATGAATCTCTTATATAATTTACTGATGAATCATCTTTCAGTCTCTGTTTGAATATTTCTTATGATAAGAAGGTTATTCTTTCATAAGGCAGCCCTTCAGTATTTTGTCAGCTTTAACAGGTAACAGAGTTCTTTATTCTTACATTTCTAATCATTGGATATAATCCAGCATCCTGATGCCCACAGACAATTAACCACCTTTTTCATGTAGCAGCTTGTCCATTTAAGCCTGCTTTTCCAAGTAAAAACCCCAGGTTCTATCTTTGTTATTTTTGTAATACCCCGACATCCTCTAAACTCAGCCCTACGGGGTCAGAATGTGTGCCGTTCTATCGTGGCCAGTGGCTTGAGGGAGGGCAGCCTTTGGCAAATGTGAGAGAGCCACAGGCAGACCTGGAATAGCTTACTCAATTTTTAAGATCTCTGTATAAGCTGAAAGGATCCTGCCATTGCCACCAGAGCAGGGATGTATTTTTATTTTATTCAGGCTGAGAGTTGGTGGGAAAATCTGACACTCACTTCATTTTCTAAGGAGGCAGAACTGACAGTTCAGCATGTGATCTCCTAAGCAAGGCAGGTGGATTACTGGTTTTCATTTCTACGGCACTCTTGAAATCTGGTGTGTGTATAACTCTGGGTGGAGCAAGCATTTCCCAGCAGGCCCCCCAAGAGGGAAGCGGAACATTCTAACTCAATGAGCCCTCATTTCATGCCAGGCATATCTTATGTGTCATCTCATTTGATCTTCCCCCTAACTCTTCAAGGGAAGGGTTTTATCTTCATTTCACAGGTAATCTTTAGAGAGAATAAGTGGCATATCCAAGGTCCAAGTGGCTAATAAATAAGCAACAGTGCCACGATCCAAGCCTTTATCTGTCAGAATGCAAATTCCATGCTTTTTCTTCAACACTCCACTAATCAAATGCCTTTTGGACAATAAATATTTCTTGGACATTCCTAGGTATGTGTGGGGTTACCGGAAGTCAAGGTGAGATGCCATCTCATCTCAGAGATCTTTAAATTTCTAAAGGAGAGACAACACAGGCAAACTTGCCACGAATAGAGAGATGGATCAATAAATATAATTATACCTTTTGTGTGTGATTAAGCTAATTAATGATGGTAATTTGAAAACTGGTGCCTAGACTTAGCTTCATAATAAATGTTCACTGCAGGGCCTAGAGCTGTCCAAAGGATCAGTACCTTTTTGGGCAGCCTTACGTAGATAAAATGTGGCCAAACTGGCAGTAAAAGATACTTAATTGATGGCCCAGAAGATGGATGCAGTTACATTCCTCCAAGGCGTTTGGGGAAGGTAAAGTAGGCATTCATCACTGATTTTGTTTAAAATCACATACCTACATATATGTATTTTAAAGAATTGGGTGGGAAATACAAGTTTGACTACTTTTCAGATAAGAAAAAAATAAATGCCTTCCAAATTTCTCTTGATTACAAAGAGGGAGGAAATTGAAAACACTTGCATTTTCAAGGATAGAGAATTTGCTGTAGCATATTTCCTCCATAAAAATCACATAGCTATCATTTAATTCAGCCTTTAGGCACCACCATGCTGAGAACAACCTAAGGAAGTTGTCATCTGTCTCAGAAGGAAGGTTAATTCTATGACATTTCTTAGCTGCCCGTAGCCCTATTAATGACAATTACAAAAGTTCTACTTAGTGTCTGATGTAAATTCCACTTGCTGCTGTCCATGTTACTAGGTTCTATAGAGACATTTTAAAAATATTGCTCAACACTAGAAATAGTTATAGTCTTTTAAAGACCCTTGATTGTGGTTCTTTAGGCTTCTCACCCCTCCCTGAAATTACTCTGAGAGAAAGATTTGTTCTTTTAATCATTATTGTAGTTTTTCTCCATTTCCCTTTTCCCTTGTTAAGCCCAATCAAAACAATAACCAGAGAACCGAAAGCAAGGCTGATCTGAGAGGGCACACGGCTTCCTGGCTTGTGTGTGGCCTCCATCTCTTGGGACATTTGTGCCAGGTTGACCTCTAGGAAACTCTTGTCCAGAGAATGGAAGTCCCTTATCTCCTAGTGCGAAACCTGAGTCTTTTCGATGGCTTCCTGCTCTGCAGCTCCAGCAGGCATGAGCTGAGTGCTCAGGCTAGGCATCGTGCTCAGTAATCTCCAGCCCCTATGCCACTTAGTACCACAGCTGTCCTTCAGGGTCAGTACTATTACTGTCCTCACTTTAGGATGGTGGAATCTGAAGGATGGAGAGGATTGTTGGCACCTTCCCCATGATCACACAGCCAGTGAGCAGAGGAACCAGAATTTGAGATTACATAAATCAAAGAAAAAAAGCAAACCTCTCTCTGTAGAAATACTGTGATTAATAAATGCAGATCTTTTAGCCACTACAAGTTCCATTTGTAATGTAGGGCTGGTAGACAGCAGCACATGTCAACTTGTGTATGTCTTTTTTGGGGAAGAGTGTGAAAATGTGTTTATGTCTCACACTAAGTACTTTGCTTCTGTAAGCTAGACATCACCTGTTTCAGGAGGGACCTGGAGGGAGAAGAAAGACTTCTCTCCTTGGATTTAACACCTTTCTGTGGGCTTTCACTCATTCATTCATTCATTCATTCATTCTCAAATTCTTCTTAAGCACCCCTGGTGAGCCAGGCCTTGAGCATACAACATGGTTATGTCATGGACACAGTTGCTGCTCCCATGAAGCTCACCATCTCTCTGAGAATTAAAATCATCTTAACCCTCACCTTTCCAGGGGAAGATCCTGAGGCTCGGCGGCTGCGGACCGTGAAGAACATTGCTGACCTGCGGCAGAATTTGGAGGAGACCATGTCCAGTTTACGGGGAACTCAGGTTACACACAGGTATCTGGAGCAGGAGTTGCTTTACTGAACTAGCTGGTAACTTGGTTTTCACACAGCTTCACCTGTGCTTGTTTCTGCCGCTAGCAAAGCGATGTGGTTAACAATGGAATAAATAACCTTGATTGTGAGATGTGCTGGAATTGACAAAGAATGCCATACAGCGCGCAGAAGGGAAGTGTAAGTAGCAAGAATTAGTGTAGACAGATTCTTCCCCAGAGCAGAAAGCTGCTAAATCTATTTAAAAGAGGGTATTGTAGACCAGCTCCGTTTAAATTTCACTTTACATGAAGTTTTTAGAACTATGTTATGCTGTTGAAATGAGCAGGTGAACTATATTTGACCTGTGTGATAAGCGAATGACTTGAATTCCTACCTGGTCTTCTGGTACACAACACTCTGTAATGTTGTTAGTCATGCCCGTGTATAAAATACATAAGGAAATATTTATAAAAAGTTATGATCGTGTTTAAACTATGATTTAATTGGATGAAATCTAGGATTACACTGAAAACATTTATGAGGTTGTTTTCATTGCTGAGCAAGAACTTGAAGAGGATGCAACCCTGGGATACCCTTTGTGATTCTGGCAGAACCACATTGCGCGGTCTATGTTTGGCTTTGAAAATCAAGACCAAGTCCTAGGTACCCCCTCTGACTTCCCAGAGCATCTCCTTTGCTTCTCCAATTTCAGTCTCTTTGATAAATGAATATAGCAAGGAGATCGCAGGGCTTCCCCACTGCCAGCAGTTTTTGTAGATTGGGGTGAAGCACTGTGGGTTTCATCTGAAACAAGACTGGAGCCCAAACCTTAGGGGTCTCCAATATGAGGAGAGTAAGGCCACTTGCAAAGTCAGAGGGAAACAAATGGTTGTGGCACGAACTTGATTCTTCCAGAGGAAAGTGAACTGGGGAGCCATCGTGTAGGACCCCCTAAACCTTTAGCTGTTTTAAAGCATGGAGCCGGATACCAGACCCTGAGACTCTGATTAGGTGTGAAACATCCCTGTTCCCACCAGTCACCAAAAGTAACTCTGGGTTACAGCAGTTTAGTAGACTAGGATGGTGGTGACAGGAGAGACAGCTTCAATGGATTCTCCTGCAAGAAAGAGTCTCACTTTCTCTGCTCAGTTAGAGACCCCAGTGCAGCTCTGGAGAGGAACACCGATTATCTTGATTCTGCACCAAGACCTGCAGGGCCAGGAAGACCATGGACCGCAAAAGAGCCTTTCTGATGGCCGGGGACCAGCTCGGTCTCCTGGTGGATGCAGACACATGTAGTTTGATTTATTTCCCATGTAATTTGATCTCAAGCCCAGGCATTTACCACTCTCTTCCAGCCTCTTGCCTCCAAAGCTTAGTAGTCATTTTGGACAAAATGTAGGAGAATCAAAAGTGTGGGAGAAATGGACCTTAGGGGGTTGGGAAAGCCAGGCTTTCCCCACCTGCTCGGTCAGGAGGGAGCTGAGGAGGTGATATGATATTAGGAGCTCCAAAGTGGACAGGTGGATCCTGCCTTTGGAAAAGGAGGGCTGTGATGCAGCATCCTCCATTGAATGGGCAGGTGGGTACCTCGATGCCCCATCGTTATCAGTTCTGCATTTTCTATTTCCTAGGTTGGAAAGAAGATTTTAGTAGTTAAGGTCATGTAATTAAAGTAATTCATAGTGGTGTGTTGTACCATGTTTTAGTGGGAAAAGTCTCTGCTGGGCTTCTCAGAAAGTTATATAGATGTGCAGATATGTCTTCATTTTTAACAGAGAATACACTGGGTGGTTCTTCGTGCCTGTTGTTTGAGCCTGTTTTGTTTATGGGAAATATTACATAGTTCTAAAAGAATTAAAGAACATGTAAACTGCAAAGGCTTTTAGGCACATTATAGTCTAACCCAAAGTGACTTTTACATTTTTAGCACATTGGAAACCACATTCGACACCAATGTCACCACAGAGATAAGCGGACGCAGTATCCTCAGCCTGACAGGCAGGCCCACTCCTCTCTCCTGGAGACTCGGCCAGTCCAGCCCTCGGCTCCAAGCAGGAGACGCCCCCTCTATGGGCAACGGGTACCCACCTCGAGCCAACGCCAGCCGGTTCATCAACACCGAGTCGGGCCGCTACGTGTACTCTGCCCCGCTCAGGAGGCAGCTGGCATCCAGAGGCAGCAGTGTCTGCCACGTGGACGTCTCAGACAAGGCTGGCGATGAGATGGACCTGGAAGGCATTGGCATGGACGCCCCCGGCTACATGAGTGATGGGGATGTCCTGAGCAAGAACATTCGGGCGGATGACATCACAAGCGGGTGAGTCCCTGCGTTTCCTCTCCTTTCACGGAGCAGGAGAAGGGTTGGCACCTGGTTTCTTTTTGGCCAGGCTTTAAGTTCTCCAGAAGAGATCAGACAGCCTATTTCACTTTCTGCTATCCACGTCAAAGGCCGTGTGGTGTGGAGGGTAACCCTCTGGGCTAAGAGTCACAAGACCACGGCCGCAGTCCATGCTTGTCTGGGTGATTCTAGCAAGGCTCCCCTGGCAGCCAGAGTGACACTTGACAACAAACCATATTGTGTCAGTCCTTTAAACCAGATCTTGCACTTAGAGTGGAATCCAGACTCCTTAGCATAGCCTACCTGGACCTACGGGATTTGGCCCTTACCTGACTCTTAGATCCCATGATTCTCTACCACCCCCTGCCCCCTTGCATCCCCTGCTGCAGCTTTTCCTTCTCTTCCTGTCTCATCAAGCTCCTGCCTGCCTCACAGCCTTTGCACCCTCTGTTTCTCTACCTGAATTCTATTCCCCACATCTTTTGCACGGCTAGTTCCTTCTTGCTCCTCAACTGGCATCTCTTTGGAGGGGTCCTCCTTGACCATTCAACTTGAAGTAGTGTATTTGGCCTTACCCAATGCCCTGTCCTCCCCAATACCCTGTCACATGCTCCTTCGAAAGCTTACCACTTTTTGAAATCATCCTGATTATGTGTTTCTTATATTTATGGTCTCCCCGCCCCCTCCTGCTTGCAACAATAAACACCATGAAGAAAGGACATTGTCTGGCTTGTTCACCGCCAAATCCCCAGTCCATTAATAGATATAGGAGCTTATAAATATTGCTGAGTTAATGAACTCATGGATCGATGAGTAACTCAACCAACCCCACCTCTCGTTTCTCCATTTGTTTCACATGTGAAGTTAAGGGGAGTGATGAGCTGATGTCTAAGCTGTGCCGTGACTGTGTAGCCCGAGGCTTGGCTTCTTGTTTTTAGCTCCACTTCCAAATCACTGTGCAAACTGAAGGTGCGTCTGTTCCTTCCACTTGCCTTAGACTTCATCTGTTAACCTGACTCGTGCAGAAGTTTTCCAAGGTCTTTTCCTCCTCTGACATTCTAGCAGTCAAAATGACAGGCGATAAAAATCAGGCATAATAATCATGCCACTTATTTCTATGAACAGTGATCAAGAACTGATGTGTGAGTCAATATTTTCATAATTTAGTAATATTATGTGTCAAGCCCTGTGCTAGTGCTTTATATATATTACCTTCTATCCTCATAGCAATCCTTTGAGGCGCAGGGGATAGCATAATCTCCATTTTATAGACAACTAAACTAAGGCTCGGGAGTGTTAAATGACTTGTCCAAGGTTCCACAGTTGTCCAGAGGCAGAACCCAGGGCCAGTGGCTCCAGAGCCCTGTTCCTTAACCACTGTCCCCTGTCATCTTGCCCAGCATCTTATTGATGCATTGAAATAGCACAATTATTGGAGTTTCTTTCAGAATTAGTTACTTTTGCTTAGTTCTATCTGTCTGACTAGAAACGTCCTTTCGTTTAATTCAAAGCTTAGACTTAGAGGAGCTTTGGCTCTCTGCCTGTTACTTTTAGAATCGTCCTGTCATGATATCTTGGAAGATGGGAGCCACCAAACTCATACAATGTAACACATTTCTGCCATCCAGAATGGCTGGGAAAGTTAATGGACTGATAAGTGACTTGGTTAACTTAGGGCATCATTTTGTATTTCTTATTTTCCATGTACATGAAAACAATAGTATACATCGATTACTAAAATAACATTGCATATAATTTGATCTTTTTATTATTATTTAAGAGACTTTTGGTATCTAGCATGGCCTCAAGGTTGGCATTATCAATCGCCACTGTAATATTACACCAGAATATTTCGTGGGTATTTCAGGATTTTTGTATCCTGTTATAGAGTTTATTTTATTGTCAAGTCTGTCTTTTAATCTTCAGTATATGATCAGTGTATTTATTTTGATGTAGTATTGACAGTTTCCACAAGATGGAGCTATTGAAACACTCCAAACTGAACTACAGTGATGTTACAGTGAGAAACCCTAGCTTCCTTAGCTACTCAAACCAGAGCCTTTACCCCTGCTAAAAAGCCCAAATGTTTACATTTTAGTCACTGCATTAGGGAGATTACATTCTTAGAAAGTGAGAGCACTCAGAGCAGTTGTAGATAAAAGGGCAGACATGTAAGCAAACCACCCCATTATTGAAATTGAAGAATTCTGGTCCAGCTTTCCTTTTCCCATTCCTTTTAATGTAGAAATCTATCTCCAAAATGAGGAGAGGTAGCCCAGATGGCATTTAATGCTCCTTCTAGTTGTAACATTCTAGGACGCTAGTTGAGCATAATTCCACTCTGTGGAAATACATGAGCTTTTGCTTTGGAGGCCAGATATCTGTTTGTTTTTACATGCTGAATCCAGGGCAAGACAGTTAATGGCGTTTTTACTCATTTCTTTTTTCTCTTACAAATATGACAGGATTGCAGATATCGAAGGACTGGTCATTTAGTCTGTGTTTCAGAGGCTGCTAAATGAGTCATGTTGCTGAGGCAATTGGTGTAGTGGAAAGAAAACAGACCGAGATATCTGACAGATGGCGCTTAAACCCTGCTCTGCCACTTGTGCGCTCTGTGACACCAGGCACATCATTTAACTTCCCTAAGCCTCGAAGCACTACAGTTAATATGGTTCTTAACCTCCTACAATTAGGTTTCTCTTTGAGGTTGTATCTGATTAATGGCAAATATCTGATAAAGACACAAAGTCTCAGACAGGATCTAGTTATCAACCTCAAACATCCAGGCACTTGGAAACAATGAAGCGATTAAAGTTTTCATCCAGATGTTTGCTTGGCCTTGATGTATGAGTAATATATAAATCCATAAAAAGACTCTTTAAGGAAAATTCTTGTAAAAGTTTACAGCAAGTTTATTTGGAAAGCCTGATATGGAAGTAAATTCCAGTTTCTGAAGTCCTATGACCTTTGTTTTTTAAATAACACTGTACCTCTGCTTGGTATAATAGCTATTTTTTGATGTCTCTAGTCCATTGTCTCCACTGAATGGTATGCATGTGTGTGGAGCTTGACTAAGAACCTAATGGCAAATGCCTTTTGTCAGTGTGGCAAGGTGGGTAGGGGGCACACATAAGCAATATCCTTCTATTGCACTTAGTATGTGCCAGGCATGTTAAAGTACTTTACAAGTTGTCACCTGACCTCACCACTTTCTTTTATTAGATTGATAAATTGGGCTTTGGCTGTAGTTAGTGGAAAAGAATTTAAAATGACAGATGAAGACGTCTCTTACTAAGTTTTGATCTGTGAAGTCAATCCATCTACTCATCTTCTAAAATTCAGAGTGCCATATGGTACAGAATAAAATTAAGGGGACAGACTTAGCGTCCATATGTTTGGAAAGATGATTTTTTTCTTTTTCAAGGAGGCACTGGATTGTATAATCTTCCAAAGTATGAATTATACATTCCTTCCTGGAAAAAAAAAATGACCATTTAAATTTAACATCAGAAATTTTTCCAAGAACTTTTTATGGCTTCCCATTGCCTGTGGGAACAGATCTCAGTTTCTTAACTGAACGTGGGAAACTCTTTATGATCTTTCCCTCAGTTGCCCTCCCTGCCTTAGCCCTGGCCACATACCTCCTCACACACCCTACACTCCCCATTGCTCTCCGCTACCTGCCATTCTCTTACCAAAACTTGTTTCCTGCTTTTGCAAAGCTCTGTGCCTCAGGAGATGCCACTTTCTCCCTGGAATTCCTTTCCCATTGAGCCCATCTTTTTGATCCTAAAATAAACACCTCCTCTGTGATGCCTCCCTAGACTTCCCCAGTGAGAGTTAGCTCTGTCTTAGCTGCTTTTGGTGGCCTTGGTTTACACCCAACCATATGTCTGAGCATTTTGCTTTGCATGGAAAGTGTTTGAGAGGGCCTGGATGGTGTTGAGGGAAGAGTATGGTCTTAAGAGGCAAACAGATTTGAGATTTAGTCCTGGCTCTGCCCAATGTACTGGAACAAGTTCTTAACTTTTGGGAATTAGAGATAGAACTTGAAAAGCACCTGGCAGAGTCTGGGATGCTTGAGAAATATTGTATACCATGTATATGTGTCTGCATGTGTATGTTCCTCTAAATCTGGAGCTCTTAGAAGGCAGACAGTGTCCGTTATTTTTCTAAACTCAGAGACTAGCACAAGTAGGTTTTTAATAGACATTTTGTGAATGGTCTGTTGTGCAGGCCTACCCTCACAGGACCTTGGGCTTATATAACTTGCCACCACCAGCTGTGAAACTCAGTTTTTGTATTTACAGAACACTTGGGGAAATTCACCTTTCCCTCTGGTGTCTTTTGGTGCGATGCATAGCTCCATCTAGTGGCCAACATGAATGTGATGATGTGGTTTTGATTTTTAACTCTATGAGGAGTTATTTTGGTTTAAGACTGAGGGCCGAGGAAGTAGACATTTTAGCAGTGGCTTGTCTTTCTTATGTAGCCTGACCAGTAACCTAGTGTGGGAGAGAAAGCTGGGCTGTGAACAAGCTCATCTTCTTTGCTGACTTTTTAATGGCTGAAGTCTTCCCTGTTGGGTGGCAGGGATTCCCCAGTCAACAGGTATAATATGTGCACTGGTGCCTGGGAGACTCAGCTCTTCAGAAGCTGAGGAATTGATCCCTGCTGAATTATTCTTAGCTCTATAACTATGTCAGGGTTTGTCTAGTCAGCTTGGGCTTTATAGCAAAATACCCTAGCCTGGTGGCTTAAACATTTATTTCTCACAGTTCTGGAGGCTGGAAGTCCAAGATTATAGGGCCAGCATGCCTAGATTTTGCTGAGAGTCCCTTTGCTGTGTCCTCACATGGCAGAGTGAAGAAGCTCTGGTGTGTCTTCCTCTTCTTCTAAGGGCGCTAATCCCTTCATGGGGGCTACACCCTCACAACCTCATCAAACCCAGTTACCTCCCAGATACCCTCCTCCTA